TGTTGGCTTGGGACAACATGTGTGGTTGGGCATCGTACCCGTTCGTTCCGTGCCCACTTCGGGCGTCCAAGCCGGGGGGCTTCCCGAGCCTTCTGAGAAGGCCCGCCCGCTCTCTCACTCCCCCCCCCCCCGCCCCGCCGCCGACCACCCCTTGGCATCGCTCGGACGTGTGCGTTTTTTTTTCGGCGAGGACCATCGAGGAACATCCTTGACCATGCGGCGAAAAAACCACGCACGAAACCGAAAAAAACACAAAAAATGGACGTCCGAGCGATGGCGAGACCCCCCCCCGCGCAGTGGCGAGTTTCGGAGCGCCTCGAGCCGCGGAGTCTCGGGCCGCTGTTCGGGGCGACGTCTTCTGCGCCCGGCCCCGGGGGGCCCTCGCCGTGCGGCCTCGGGGGGCCGTCCACGCAGCCACCCCGCCTATATGCGAGGAGGAGCAGCTTCCCCAGACCCGCTCGAGCTACGAAACAAAAATCAGGACGGAAGGTTCTCCTTCCTCTTCGGCCTCCGGGGGCCTTCACGGGGCACGGGAGCGTCAAGCAACGGCTCGGGACGCAGAGCCGATCCTGGGGAGAGGGTCGGGACCTCTGGGGGTCGACGCCACGAACAAATCCTCACGTCGGGGGTCTGGGCTCCGAGGTTGCCCTTGCGGCCTTCCCCTTCGGCCCCGCCTGGACCGCTCGCGCGGGCCGCGCCCCGCCCGGAGAGTGCCGGCGTGGCCTGCTGAGGTGCTGCATCCTCATCGCGCGTCCTTGTTATACGGGTCGATTGCAAAGCAGCTCGGGGCGAGCAACCCGTCCCCAAGGGGGTGAGTCCACGATATCAGCTCCTTGGCATCGCTCGGACGTGTGCATTTTTCCTTCGGCGAGGACCATCGAGGAGCATCCTTGATTTCTTGGCGAACAAAGCCACGCACGAAATCGAAAAAAACACAAGAAATGGACGTCCGAGCGATGGCCAGGCTCTGGGGAGTCAAAGCATCGGGCTTCGCAGCCGCTGGCTGGCCTCCTCCCCCCCTCCTCGTCCTCCTCGTCCTCCTCTCCTCCCGCGGGCTAGCCCTCGGCCTCGGCCTCCTCCTCCTCCTCCTCCTCCTCCTCCTCCTCCTCTTTCTCTCCCTCCTCCTCCTCCTCCTCCTCCTCCTCCTCCTCCTCCTTCTCCTCCTCCTCCTCCTCCCTCCTCCTCTCCCTCCTTCCTTCCCTCCTCCTCTCCTCTCCTCCTCCTCCTCCTCCTCCTCCTCCTCCTCTTCTTCCTTCTCCTCCTCCTCCTCCTCTTCCTCCTCCTCTTCCTCTTCCTCCTCCTACTCCTCCTCCTCCTCCTCCTCTTCCTCTTTTCTTATTATTATTATTATTATTCCTCCTCCTCCTCCTCCTGTGACCCTCCCCTCGACCTCCCCCAGAAAAACCGACATCCCCCCCAATAAGATTCGACCTCCAAAATGGAGAGTCTGGGCACGCTCGACGTCCTCCTCTGCCCCTCCACCTAGATATACTTAGCAAGCCACGGGCGCTTCCGCTCGTCTCGGATGGTGTGCATCTCGGCGCACCGCGCCCAGCAGCTCTCTCAGTACAGTCGGGGTCCGTTGGGGAGGGGCTGCGTGTTCCTTGGTGAGCTCTTCCATGGGAGATCGAAGTTCTGGGCGTGGAGCAAAGGGGCCTCGTTCCTTCTTTAGGGCTCCCTGGGTCGACGCCCCGACCTGTGTGAAGGGGCCCCAGGACACACTAATAAATACACCTTATATTTCCCCATACTTTCTGGGTTCCTGTCTGCCCCCCCACTTCCCCTATTTTTCCTATATTTTCCTGGGAGTCGACGAGTAGTTGTGTCTGTGTTTTTTTTTCCCCCTCCTGACTGCAGCCCGACCGCAGCTCCCTGGCGGCCAGCCCGGCTCGAGCCGCCCCGCCCCCCCCCCCCCCCAGCGGCCAAGCCGCCGGTGGGCGCGGGGGCGACAGGCGCCCCAGACCCCCAGGCGTAATGGTAAGTCGGGCCTGTCCCCCTACAGGGGGATTTTCCATGGAAAAATAAACATACCTTAAGAATACACCAAAAAGGTCTGAAAATACTCAAAAAATAGTCCCCAGAGTATTTTTATAGCATTTTTGGATTATTTTTGGGGGTACTTTCTTATTTTTCGTCGAAGCTCCCCCCTGTAGGGGGACAGGCCCGACATAAACGTAATGCTTTTTTCGCCGCGTCGACCCCCAGCGGTCCCGAGACCCTCTCCCCAGGGCCGGCTCTGCTTCCCGAGCCGTTGTTTGACGACGCTCCCGCGAGGCCCGGGGCGGGCCCCCCCGGAGGCCGAAAAAAGGGAGGCAAGCCCTCCGTCCCGATTTTTTCTCATTGCTCCCCTGACCTTCCAGGAGGGCTAAAAAATAGCACCCGACCTAAAAACCCTATCCCAGAGCCATTCTACGTCTTGGTTTGAGGCTGCTTCGTTTCGTTTTTTCCGTTTTTTTTGGGGGGGGGGGGGGGGGTTAGGCCTCCAGTGCTAAAAAATAGCTCTCTGGAAGGTCCTTGCGCGAGGGGGTCTGGGGCTCGGCGCCACCACCGGGCGGCCGCGCGGCGCGGAAAAATCCGGCGCCACCAGCGAGGGGCGGCCGCTCGGCGGGGCGGCGCGGCGGGGCCACATGCCGGGGGGCCCCGGGGGCGGGGCGCCCGGGGCGGAGGAGCGGCTCCGCGCGTCCCTGACCTTCCAGGAGGGCTAAAAAATGGCACCCGGCCTAAAAACCTATCTCAGAGCTATTCTACGTCTTGGTTTTGGGCTGCTTCGTTTCCTTCTTTTTTTTTGTTTTAGGTTTTTAGGCCTCCAGTGCTAAAAGATAGCTCTCTGGAAGGTCAGGGTTAAGGCTGGCCCGAGCTCCGAGGTTCCCTGCAGCGACCTGCCCAGAGATCCAACGCACTGAAAAAGTCGAGACGGACGTTTTTCGCAACTTTGGGCCCCCAGGAGCCCTCGCCGGGCCTCGGGAGCGTCCAAGAACGACTCGGGATGAAAGACCGGTCCTGGGGAATGGGTCGAGACTTCCGGGGACTGCGCGTGGAAAAAATCACGACAGCGGATCTCTGGGTGCCCAGATCCCCGCGGGTTTCCCAGACCCCCCCCCCGAGTCATGGAAAAATCATGACGGGAGGGTGTTCCTACTGTTCGGCCTCCGGGGGCCCTCACCGGGCCTCGGGAGCGCCAAGAAACGACTCAGGATGCACAGCCGGTCCTGGGGAAAGGGTCGGGACCTCTGGGGGTCGACGCAACGAAAAAGATCATTACGCTTGGGGTCTGGATTCCGAGGTCCCCTGCAGCGACATGCCCAGACCCCCTTCGGGTCATGAGAGGTGCTCCGTTCTGTTCGGCCTCCAGGGGCGCTTCCCGGGCCTCGGGGCCGTCGAAGGAGGATGCAGGAGGAGGGAGCGGGTCCTGGGAAAGTGGGTCGAGAGCTCTGCGGGTCGACGTGCTGACAAAAACAAATCATGGCGTTTGGGATCAGGGCACCCAGGCCCAGAGCGCCTCGCGCCGTGGAAGCAACGCAACGGAGGAACTCTCTTGGCCATGCTGGGCCCCTGGGGGCCCTCACCAGGGCCCCTGGAGCATGACGAGCAGCTCGGGATTAAGAGCCGATCGCTGACTTATGATGTTCCAGCCTACTTTAGCCTTGATCACCAGAAAGAATTTCAGGCACCAGAGAAGCGCCCAAAACTCAAGGGTTTTCAGGTGTCGGGCCCCGGGAGACACTCGCCCGACACTGATTCGACACTCTTTCGACACTTTTCCAGGTGCTCGAAATTATGTATGGGATGTGGTCCTCAAGTACGATGGGAGCATTTAACAGAATCGCTGGGATGGGGTCGAGACCTCTGCGGATATATGTGAGTCCTGCACCCCGTGAGATCGGGGCGTTGCCGTTTTTGTTGGACACTGTGCGCTTTCTCGCCCAGCTTTCGGAGGCTGCACGTGAGAAGCGGGCCCAGACCTCCAACGCGATGCGCAAATCACGACTGCTGTTTCTCGTCGTCTCCGGCCTCTGCAGGGGGCCCTCGTTGTGCCCCAGGACCGACAACCCCATACCCCCGACGCAATGATTTTTTTCTCCGTCGACCCCCAGAGGTCCCGACCCTATCCCCCTGACCGGCTCTGCATCCTGAGTCGTTCTCTGACGCTCCCGAGGCCCGGCGAGGGCCCCCGGAGGCCGAAAAGTAGGAACAACCTCCCGTCATGATTTTTCCATGATTCGAGGGGGTCCGGGTTGTGCCCGAGGACCGCCAACCGTCGGCTCGGGAGGAGGAGCCGACCCCGGGCAACCCGTGGGGCCTCTCGGAGGGCCCCTGGTGATGGAAACAGTTCAGGGGGATCCTTCGCCTCAGCGGCCTCCTCCGTGCGCGGCGTTCGGAGAGCGCGGGGGGGGGGGGCAGCACACACCAAACACACACACACACAAAACACAAAACACACACCACACACAGAACACAAAACACACACACACACACACACAAACCACAAAACACACACACACACACCACAACACACAAAGACAAAACACAAAAGACACTTTTTGCGTCGGCGGCTGGGCAGAGGTCGACTGGTCTGGCGGAATGGCAACAGGGGACACGCCGTATGCAAATGAAGGCCGCCACGCACGGGAGGAGGAGGAGGAGGAGGAGGAGGAGGAGGAGGAGGAGCTCCGGCGCGACGGGGGGAGAGGAAGCCGGACCATTCAGAGCTGCGCAACCCACACAAACACACACACACACACACACACACATTCACACACACAAACACACACACACACACACATTCACACACACGCACCCACACACGCACCCACACACGCACCCACACACGCACCCACACACCCACACACACACACACACACACACGCACCCCCCCACACACACACACACACGCTTACACAACCTTCGAAGGATTGCAAAAGAACCCTTCGTTCAAGGGTGTTTTTTGCAATCCTTCGTTCGCGTGTGGCGCCGCCAGGAGGAGCCCGGGACGACGAGGGGCCCGGCGGCGCCCGCCGGCGGCGGGGGCGGCGCGGCGACGTGGGGCGCGGGCCTCAAGGCCGTGCGGCAGGCCCGGCGCATGGCTCCGCGCCGGAGCCTCACGGGCCCGCTGCAGCCCGGGCGGCAGAGCCCCGGCGAGGAGCCGCCGCCGCGCGCCTCCGAAGCCTCCTCCTCCTCTTCCTTCCCCCCTCCTCCTCCCTCCTCCCTCCTCCTCCTCCTCCTCCTCCTCCTCCTCCTCCTCCTCCTCCTCCTCCTCCTCCTCCTCCTTCCCCCCTCCTCGTCACCGTCGTCGCGGCGGTGATTCTTTCCCCGGAACTTTCGGGCGGGCTGGATCACGTTGGGGCCTTTCTTCTCCCAGGGAATCACCTATGGTGGGCTACCCTGCATGCGAGAGGATGTGCGAGCATCTTCTCATGAGGATGGCAATCGGAATCAGTCCGCCCGAAGCAGGCGGGCGCCCGCCTCCGAAGCAGGCGGGCGCCATACAGGGCAGCGGGTCCCGAGTCTTGCTCGCCGCTCGATGGCCCTCCACGGGCCCCGAGGACCTGCCAAAGAGCGACTCGGGCCGGGCGGGGCTAGCTACCCAGACCCCCTCGAGCAGTGAAAAAATCATGACGGGCGGTTGCCTTCATGTTCGGCCTCCGGGGGCCCTCACCGGGCCTCGGGAGCGTCAAAAAACGACTCAGGATGCAAAGCCGATCATGGGGAAAGGGTCGGGACCTCTGGGGGTCGACGTAATGAAATAATCATTACGTCGGGGGTCTGGGCAGCAAGGCTGCATCCGTCCCGGAGCGGGGGTTCATCTGATCGGGATATGAGCAGCTGCATGGTCCCAGGAAACGCCCCAGGGCCCAGCGACCCGTCTCCCGCATCCGGACCCGCGTCCCTCACGGCGAGAGGACGCACAGCGCGAGCTTGTCTCCCGCGTGCCCTCCACGCCGGAGCACGCGGGCGAAAAACAGATCCGTAATTGTCCAAGGCCTCGCGGGCCAGGGCCCCTGGGGCCGCGACTTTTGGGACCGCGACCTGGTGGATAACCTCACGAGGTCTTTAGTTCCCAACCATCCTGTGGTGTTGGGTCCTCGTTTTGAAGAGACGGTGGCCCGCGTCTCCTCTCCTCCTCTCCTCCTCCCCCTCCTCCTTGCGTTTCACCCACCCAGCACAGCGCTGCGTAGTCCATAGCCCATAGGGAGCTCCACCGAAGGCCCCAGTGGCAGGGTTCGCATGGCGGCCTCGGGCCATTTCGGCACACCCCTCACGAGGATCGTGGCCCCATAGGGAGCTCCACCGAAGGCGCCAGTGGCAGGGTTCGCATGGCGGCCTCGGGCCATTTCGGCACACCCCTCACGAGGATCGTGGCCCCATAGGGAGCTCCACCGAAGGCGCCAGTGGCAGGGTTCGCATGGCGGCCTCGGGCCATTTCGGCACACCCCTCACGAGGATCGAGGATCGTAGACCATAAGGGAGCTCCACCGAAGGCCCCAGTGGCAGGGTTCGCATGGCGGCCTCGGGCCATTTCGGCACACCCCTCACGAGGATCGTGGCCCCATAGGGAGCTCCACCGAAGGCGCCAGTGGCAGGGGTCGCATGGCGGCCTCGGGCCATTTCGGCACACCCCTCACGAGGATCGTGGCCCCATAGGGAGCTCCACCGAAGGCGCCAGTGGCAGGGTTCGCATGGCGGCCTCGGGCCATTTCGGCACACCCCTCACGAGGATCGTGGCCCCATAGGGAGCTCCACCGAAGGCGCCAGTGGCAGGGTTCGCATGGCGGCCTCGGGCCATTTCGGCACACCCCTCACGAGGATCGTGGCCCCATAGGGAGCTCCACCGAAGGCCCCCAGTGGCAGGGTTCGCATGGCGGCCTCGGGCCATTTCGGCACACCCCTCACGAGGATCGTGGCCCCAGAGCTCCACCGAAGGCCCCCAGTGGCAGGGTTCGCATGGCGGCCTCGGGCCATTTCGGCACACCCCTCACGAGGATCGTGGCCCCATAGGGAGCTCCACTGAAGGCGCCAGTGGCAGGGGTCGCATGGCGGCCTCGGGCCATTTCGGCACACCCCTCACGAGGACCGTGGCCCCATAGGGAGCTCCACCGAAGGCGCCAGTGGCAGGGTTCGCATGGCGGCCTCGGGCCATTTCGGCACACCCCTCACGAGGATCGTGGCCCCATAGGGAGCTCCACCGAAGGCCCCCAGTGGCAGGGTTCGCATGGCGGCCTCGGGCCATTTCGGCACACCCCTCACGAGGACCGTGGCCCCACTGGAACTCCACCGAAGGCGCCAGTGGCAGGGTTCGCATGGCGGCCCCGGGCCATTTCGGCACACCCCTCACGAGGATCGTGGCCCCATAGTTGTGCTGCTTCAACAACCGTGCCTGGGCGTCGTACTCCGTCTTGTCGACGTGCAACGCCACCTCCTCCCTCATGGCTCTCAAGGCCCTTTCCTGCTTCTGCTCCTCGGTGAGAGGGACGCCGTCCTTGTCGTCGTCGGCGCCCGCGAAGACGGCCACGAACGTGTCCCTGAGCATGTCGGGCTCCGGCGGGAAGCCGTGGCCACATAGGGAGCGCGGGCGAACATGGCATTCACAATTGCGGTATTCACAACTGCATATGGTTGGGTCCTTCGCCAGGATAATTTGTTTCCCACCCCCCTGTTTCTCACGGTGGTCTCCTCCTCTCCCTCCTCCTCCTCCCGCTCCTCGTGCTCTCCTCCTCCTCCTCCTCCTCCTCCTCCTCCGCCTCCTCCTCCTCCTCCTCCTCCTCCTCCTCCTCCTCCTCCTCCTCCTCCTCCTCCTCCTCCCCCCCTCCTCGTCACCGTCGTCGCGGCGGTGATTCTTTCCCCGAAACATTCGGGCGGGCTGGATCATGTTGGGGCCTTTCTTCTCCCAGGGAAGAACCTATGGTGGGCTACTCTGCATGCGAGAGGCTGTGCGAGCATCTTCTCATGAGAATGACAATCGGAATCAGTGGTTGTGCTTCCAGTCGTAACTGGGGTCGCGTTTGTAATCGTGATTGCAGTTGTGATCGTAATCGCGATTGTAGTCGTAATCGCAGTCGTCGTCGTCGACGTCGCGGCGGAGATTATTTTCCCATTTATGTTCGCAGCGCTGGATGATGTTGGGGGCGTCTTTCTTTCGGCGAATCATGGTCTCTGAGCAACCCTGCACGGCAGAGGCATTTCGAACACTTTTGCAAGAGGATTGCACAATAGATCGGCAGATTCTTCGCCGAAGGTGTTGCTCATAGTCTACTACTCGTAGTCGTAGCCGTCGCCGTAGCCGTAGTCGCATCGTGGTCGTAATCCTAGTCGTCGTCGTCGTCGTCGTCGTCGTCGTCGTCGTCGTCGTCGTCGTCGTCGTCGTCGTCGTTGTTGCGCGGCAGGTGCTGCGGAGAGATCATGATTCATTTTTCCCACGAGCGGTGGAACCCCCAGTCCGTCAGCGAGGCCACCGAAGCAATACTCAACTCCCCTTCGGCTCGCTTCGCGGGCCCGGGTCGCGTCCACGTGCCGGGCTTCTTCGAGTTTCCCGCCCCGCGGAGCGGAGAGACATGCGACCCAGAGCGAGGCATACAGTCGGGGCCCTGAAGAAGGAACCCTTTTCGTCGGGGAGGGGCTCGGTGTTCCTTGGTTGTTCTGCAGCTTGTCTCCGGCGTTCCCGAGGTCCTCCGTGGGAAATCGAAGTTCAACCTGTGAGAGAAAGGGGCCTCGTTTCTTCTTTAGAGTTCCTCAGGTCAGCGCCCCGACGGCAGCGTGTCGCCGGGGCCGCCGCGGCGACACGCTACCGCCCCCTCCTTCCGGCCGCTGGTGCCGAGGGGTCCCCGTATGGTCGCGGGTCCGCGCCCTCGTCTCCAATGTAGCATGCCGCGCCGGCAGCTCGCGCAAGCCGCCCCGCACGCCGCTGTGCCATCTCTCGCGTAAGGCCCGTTTTCTCCGTGTGCCGCTCGCCCGTCGCTGCCCATCGACAAAGGGCAAGCAGCATCATCCAGCGCTGTCGGAGCTTCGCTCGGAGTTGCTGGATCGGCGCTGGAGCCCCCCAGCGGCGCCTCCAGCGCCGCCCCTGGCGCGCGGGGTGCGCCAGGGAGGGGGGGCCCAGCGCCGATGCGAGAACTCCGCGCGGACCTCGGAGTGTCTGATGCCCACGTCATGGCTTATGCCTCTATACTACACGCCGGTCGTTGAAAGTAGGTATTCTTGGATTCCCAGATCCCAATCTACTTCAAACGCCTTCCTACTTCAAGAATCGGCATGCTTTTGCTGTGTTTTGTTGTCCTCTGGGAGGACCTGGACCCAATCTACTATATCCGCCTTCCTACTTCATGTCTTTACCTACTTCTTCCGACCGACGTGTATAGGAGCCGCCCTCCTTCCAGCCGCTGGTGCAGATGGACCCCTACCTCCGCCTGTACCGCGCGCTGCTGCGCCCGCCGGGCCGGCGCACGCCCCGCGACCTGCGGGAGATCACCGCCGCGCTGGCCTTCGTGACCGACCCGGCGATCTACCAGCTGGTGGAGGACGTCGGAGGACGAAGGCGAGGAGGAGGAGGAGGAGGAGCACGAGGATAAGGAGCAGTAGAAGGAATAGGGAGAAGAAGAGGAGGAGGAGGAGGAGGAGGACGAGGCTGAAGATAAGGAGGGTGAGGAGGAGGAGGAGGAGGAGGAGGAGGAGGAGGAGGAGGAGGGGAAGGGGAAGGGGGAGGGAGGTGGACGAAGACGAAGAGGAAGAGGAGGGAGGCGGACGAAGACGAGGAGGTGGAGGACGTCGAACAGTGCCAGTGGGGGTCACCACTGGAGTCACCACCAGTGGTGTCGCCAGCTCCTCCTGACAACCCAGGTTTAAGTCGGGCGTGTTCCCCTACAGGGGGATTCTGGACGACAAACAAAAAGTTATCAACAAATGCACCAAAATAACATGGGGGTCTCTTGCGTCTCCCTCCTGGCGGAGCCGCGGGTTCCTCCAGCGGGTGGCGGTCCCTCTGGTTGTGCCTCCCCTTTCGGCCCCCCTCCCCAGGCGGCAAGGGGAGGGGATCCAAGGGAAGGGGCTTCACTTCGACTCGACTACGACGTTGTTCCATTTCCTTGTGACCGGCGCGCTTGAGGAGGAGAGCCCAGGGAGGGATCGCCAGGGGGAGATGGCATTCGGGGTCGGGACCCCCCCCCACAGACCCGGGACCCCCCTCCCCTCCCGGCGGGAAAGGAGACAAGAAGGGAGAAAACCAGAGGGGAGAAAACCAGAGGGGAGAAAACGCGAAGGAAGGGGGAGAAAGCAACACCAGGGGGAGAAAACAGGTAAGACGACAGAAAAGCAAAAACCAGGGGGAGACAGCGCGGAGGACAAGGGTTCACAACAGGCGTGGGCTCTCGGAGCTCCTGGCGCGGAGTTCCTGGATCTGCGTTTGGACCCCCCTCCCCTGGCGCGCCCTGCGCTCCGTGGGAGCCCCGCGCCGATCCAATCGTCCGCGCGGGCCTCCGCAGGCTTACGCTCAGGAACGCCACGGCGCCGCCAGAGGAGGAGGAGGCGGAGGAGGGAGGAGGAGGAGGAGGAGGAGGAGGAGGAGGCGGAGGAGGAGGAGGAGGCGGAGGAGGACCTCCTCATCCTCCCTTCTCCCCCGACCTGCCTGCGGTAGTGGTGGTGGAAGACCTTCCCATCACCCAGGATGGGCGCAGAACCGACGCCCCTCTGCGGGTATCGATACCGCTGCCGTGGCCTCGTTTTCGCACCGTTTGGCCCCCTGGGAGGCCCTCGGCGCCGCGGCTGGAGTCGCCTCGAACGTCTCGGCGAGGGCGCGGAGAGGTCAGAGGAATAGTGGCATCGGTGCCTCTCGATTCCCGGCACGAGCTGAAGATGTCGGAGCTGCTCGATCTTATGATCGATCTCACTATTCATCTCACCCGATCGATCTCACCATCGATCAAGCCATCCATTGTTTGTTTTTCTGGTGTAATTTTCTTTGGCTCTCGGCGGTGTCCCAGGGTCGGGTTCCCAGAGATCCAATGTCGGGATTTAATACGCGGTCTCCGGAAGTCTCGACCCATTCCCCAGGACCAGCTTTGATTCCCGAGTCGTTATTTGACGCTCCCGAGGCCCAGTGAGGGCTCCCGGAGGCCAAAAAATTAGAAAATCTTCCCGTCCGGATTTTTCCACGACCCGAGGGTGTCTGGGTTTTTCTCTGGTGTAATTTTCTTCGGCTCTCGGCGGTGTACCAGGGTCGGGTTCTCGCTTCAGCAGCTGATCTGATGGGCTCGGTTTCCACCACCACCACCACCACCACCACCACCATAAGTTGGAGGGGGGAAGGAGGTGGAGGAGGAGAAGGAGGAAGAGGAGGAGGAGGAGGAGGAGGAGGAGGAGGAAGAGGAGCAGGAGGAGGAGGAGAGAGGAGGAGGAGGAGGAGGAGGAGGAGGGAGGAGGGAGGAAGGAGGAGGAGGAGGGAGGAGGGAGGAGGAGGAGGAGAGGAGGAGGAGGAGGGAGGAGGGGGGAGGAGGAGGAGGAGGAGGGAGGACGAGGAGGATGACGAGGAGGGACGAGGAGGAGGAGGACCCCCTCCCCCTCCAACTTATGGCGGTGGTCGTGGAAAAGAGGCCCATCCGGATCGCCCTGCCGAGGGCATCCTGTAGGGAGGTGCCCGGGCGTCCTCCTCCCGAGATCGGCCGCCGGAGGCCTAAAGGGCGGACCCCAGAAGACCAAAACCAGTGTTTTTTCCCGTTAGGCTCGGGCCGGACGACAGGGGGGGATTGGGAAAGGGGGGGTACGAAATTTGCTGCATGCAGCTGGTTTCTGCCACACCGGGGGACCCATTCCTCGATACATAGTTGCCTCCGGCGCTGGGAGGCGCCGGGAAAGTCAGCTACGTGAGCTGATTCTCAACCCCCCCTTTGCTATCCCCCCCTTTTGCCCGACCCGATAGGATGCCTAGATGGCTATCCTCGGGGCTCCCCTGGATGTCCGCAGGGTTCCCTTAGATGTCCTGCGGAACCCCCATGGATTTTCAAAGGGATCCCATGGGATTCCTCAGGACTCCTACGGCTATCCTCGGGGATCCCATGGATTTCCATTGGATTCCTGTCGGTTTCCGACGGAAGCCTGTGGATTTTCAGAGAAATCCTATGGGATTCCGCAGGACTCCTGTGGATTCCCTAACGAATCCGACGGATTTGAAAGAGCGTGTTCTACGGAGGGGGACCTTAGGATTCCTATGGGTCTCCTCGGGGATCCCATGGATGTCCACAGGGCTCCTATAGATTTACATCGGAATCCTATGGATTTCCGAAGGAATGGATTTTCGGAGGAATCCTACGGAGCGCTCTCGGAGGCCTCTGGTGGGCAGTTTTGGGCAGTTGTCCATCTATGGGCTTCCTGCAATTCCGAATTATGGCAAACCCATGGGCCGCCAGAGTCCCTCTGGGTTTCTGGCGGCCGATGGGTTTCCCATAGTTCGGACTTACGGGAAGCCGATAGATGGACAAATGCCGCCTGCGAATTATGGGAAACCAATCGGCCGCCAGAAACTCTTAGGGAATCTGGCGGTCGATGGGTTTCCCATACTTTGCGGCGGCGAGCAGGATCAAGATCCCGAATTATGGGGAGCCCTATCAGCCGCCAGAAGCCCCTAGGAAATCTGGCGGCCGATGGCTTTCCCCGGCGGCGAGCGGGGTCCAGACCCCGAAGTATGGGAAACCCATCGACCGCCAGAAACCCCTAGGGAATCTGGCGGCCGATGGCTTTCCCATACTTCGCCCACGCCAGCGGCACCGTGGACTTTCGCAGAATCCCGGACGCCGCGCAATCATGAGACATTCGCATTCGAATTCGCTCGCGCAATGGGGCCGCCTATAGCGGGGTCGAGATTCAGAAGTATGGGGAACCGATCGGCCGCCAGAGAAACCCCGAGGGAATCTGGCGGCCGATGGGTGTCCCATCATTCGCGGCGGCGAGCCGTCGGCCGCCGGATTCCCTAGAGGCTTCTGGCGGCCGATTGGTTTCCCATAATTCGGGGTCTGGGCCCCGCTCGCCGCTGCGACTAATGGGAAAAACCCATCGACCGCCAGATTCTCGTCGGGAACCTCCCCCCCACAGACCCCGGACCCCCCCCCCTCCCCCCGATTCGTTGTGACTGGCGCGCTTGAGGAGGCGAGCCCAGGGAGGGATCGCAAGGGGGAGATGGTATTCGGGGTCGGGACCCCCTCCCCCACAGACCCGGGACCCCCCCTCCTCCCGGCGGGGAAGGGATCAAAGGGAAGGGGCTTCCCTTCGACTCGACTACGACGTTGTTCAATGTCATTGTGACTGGCGCGCTTGAGGAGAGCCCAGGGAGGGATCGCCAGGGGGAGATGGTATTCGGGGTCGGGACCCCTCCCCACAGACCCGGGACCCCCCCCCCTCCCGGCGGGAAAGGGATCAAAGGGAAGGGGCTTCCCTTCGACTCAACTACGACGTTGTTCAATTTCGTTGTGACTGGTGCGCTTGAGGAGGCGAGCCCAGGGAGGGATCGCCAGGAAGGGATGGAATTCGGGGTCGGGACCCCCTCCCCCACAGACCCGGGACCCACCCGCCCCCTCCCGGCGGGGAAGGGATCAAAGGGAAGGGGCTTCCCTTCGACTCGACTACGACATTGTTCGATTTCCTTGTGACTGGCGCGCTTGAGGAGGCGAGCCCAGGGAGGGATCGCCAGGAAGGGATGGTATTCGGGGTCGGGACCCCCCCACACACAGACCTGGGACCCCCCCCTCCCGACGGGGAAGGGATCGAAGGGAAGGGGCTTCCCTTCGACTCAACTACGACGTTGTTCAATCTTTAGGAGGAGGAGGAGGAGGAGGAGGAGGAGGAGGAGGAGGAGGAGTAGCAGGAGGAGGAGAGGAGGAGGAGGAGGAGGAGGAGGTAGGAGGAGGAGAGGAGGAGGAGAGGAGGAGGAGGGGGAGGAGGAGGGGGGGGAGGGGAGGGAGGAGGAGGAGAGGAGGAGGAGGAGGAGGAGGAGGAGAGGAGGAGGAGAGAGGAAGAGGAGGAGGAGAGGAGGGAGGGGGGGAGGAGGAGGGGGAGGGGGAGGGGGAGGGGGCGGGCGGCCGCGGAAGAGGGCCCGGGCAGGGAGGGCGCACTCGGTCCGTGGAGGTCTCGCGGAACGCGCGCAGCTGCCGGCAGAAGTCGTCGCAGGGACTCCGCGCGCGGATCCGCGGCGGCCGCGGTCGTCGCTGCAGGGAGGGCCCTTGGAAAAGAACGGAGCGGCGACGGTTGGACCGATCGTTCGGCGATTCGGGGCCCTCGAAGACGAAGACGACGAACGGAAGAGCGTCCCTCCACACGCCGACAGGGCCGGCGGACTTTCGAAAGAATCTTCTGGAATTGCGTAGGGATCCCATCGGTATCCTACGGAATCCTATGCATGTCCTAAGGAGCCCAATGGATTCCCGTAGGATTCGTAAGGCTGTCCTTTGGAGTCCTAAGAATGTCCTAAGGAATCTCATGGACTTCCGAAGGTCGCCCGTTGATCGCCGACATGGGGCCCGTGAACCCACACCGCCCAGGACCATGCGCCAGGGCCATTGCAGATCTGTCGGCGGTGTATATTGCCAGTTGCAGGTCGATGTTCCCCCCTGAGCCAGTCCCGCCTTCTCGCTGTCGAAGATGAAAGACCTGCATAAGACTGAATATTCGGAGCTCCGCGCGGATTTATTGCATCTGCGCCCCCCTCATGGTGCCGCCCCTGGCGCGTTCAGCGCGGATCCAAGAAATCGTTGCGGACCTGGCTGGGGTTGACTGCAGAGCGGCTCGGGGCGTGGGTGGGTCCACGACATCAGCTCTGGGGAGCCACTGCTCCGCAGCCGCTGGCTGGCCTCCTCCCCCCGCCCTCCTCGTTCTCCTCCTCCTCCTCCTCCTCGTCCTCCTCCTCCTCCTCCTCCTCCTCCTCCTCCTCCTCCCCCTCCTCCTCCTCCTTCCTCCTCCTCCTCCTCCTCTCCTCCTCCTCCTCCTCCCGCGGGCTAGACCTCGGCCTCCTCCTCCTCCTCCTCCTCCTCCTCCTCCTCCTCCTATTCCTCCTCCTCCTCCACCTCCTCCTTTCCTTTCTCCTCCTCCATTCCTTTTCATTGACAATAATTTCTCCCTGTCGCACCCCGAAGCCATTTTTTAGGGCGGGCCGGGCGTTTCGCCTGAGAGTGCCTCACCATGCATGACTTTGAAGCTTCAAAATTGGCAACAGTTTCACGGATTGAGGGCGGTTGGTTTTCAAACTGTGGTTCTCGCCCTAGCGCGGCGGACATTCGTTTTAAACATGTGCGAGGGTTTCACGGATTGAGGGCGGGTGGTTTTCAAAATGTGGTTCTCGCTTTAGCGCGGCGCACATTCGTGTTAAACATGTGCAAGAGGTTCGCATATTGAGGGTGGGTTGCATTCAAAATGTGGTTCTCGTTTTAGCGCGTTGCATATTCGTTTTCAACAGTTGCAAGAGTTTCACGGATTGAAGGCGGATCGTTTTCAAAATGTGGTTCTCGCTTCAGCACCGCGTACATTCGAACACCAAATATGCAAGAGTTTCACGGATTCGCTTATTCGGTGCGTTGAAGTCCGAGGAATGGCGTTCTGGCACGATTCAGGACCATCAACATGCAACAGTCAGGTTGATCCGTGGCGTTGGAATCCCGCGAACAATGTTTTGGCATGCTTCAGGGTCTTCGAACGTTTGTTTCCCCAATGGAACTGAACCGTTGCCTGTGAAGAGGGAGCTTGGAGGGAGGGCTTATGCCAACATCGTTGGTGGCTCTTTGGTTTACACTGGTCCTCCTCCTCCTCCTCCTCCTCCTCCTCCTCCTCCTCCTCCTGCTCAGACCCCCGACGTAATGATTTTTTCATTAAATCCACCCCCAGGGGTCCCGACCCTTTCCCCATGACTGGCTTTGCGCCCTGACTATTTTTTAACGCTCCCGAGGCCCGGTGAGGGCCACCGGAGGCCGAACATTTGGAAACATGGCCCGTAATGATTTTTCATTTCGAGGGGGTCTGGGTCCCTTTTGCCCTCCTGTCGTGCGTCCTTCTCGCGCGGGCCGGCTGCACAGGACGTGCGGGAGCGGCTCGCCGAGCGCGTGGCGCTCGTGGAGGCGGAGGCGGCCCGTGGCGGGGGTCGCGAAGGAGGAGGAGGAGGAGGAGGAGGAGGAGGAGGAGGAGGAGGAGGAGGAGGAGGAGGAGGAGGAGGGGGGGAGGAGGAGGAGGAGGAGGAGGAGGAGGAGGAGGAGGAGGAGGAGGAGGAGGAGGAGGATGAAGGAGGAGGGGGAGGAGGCGGAGGAGGAGGAGGAGGAGGAGGAAGAGGAGGAGGAGGGAAGAGGAGGGGGAGCAGTGGAAGAGGAGGAGGAGGAGGCCGAGGCCGAGGTTTAGCCCGCGGCCTCCTCCTCTCCTCCTCCCCTCCTCCTCATCCTCCTCCTCCTCCTCCTCTCCGCCTCCTCCCCCTCCGGGGGGGGGGGGGGGACGGCCCTCGAATGGCGAGGGGCGGCGCCGCGCACGAGACAAGACTCGCAGCGCCAGGCGCGCGCCCGGCGCTGCTTCGCCACCGTGCCGCTCGCCCCGCCGCGCGAAGCTGCATGGGATGTTTGGGGTGCTGCTCTGCGCCCTCCTCCTCCTCCTCCTCCAACTCCTCCTCCTCCTCCTCCTCCTCCTTGCACTCGTGCTCTGCACAAAATAAGCGCCCCGCAAGAGGTCCGGGATTTGCTTCGGAGGGGGAAAAGGTACCCATACTTCCACCCTTCGCTCGGAGGGCCTCGTCGCCATCGCTGGGCTCGCCGTCGAAATTCTGGTCAGAACGCACCCAGAAGAGATCTGGGGAGTAGCGGTATCGGTGCCAGTTCCGCCCATAACTCTTCGTCTACATTCGGCGTCCAGCCCTAGGGGGAAGTGAGGGCGGGCCTTCTCAGGAGGCTCGGAAGTCCCCCCAGCCTCCTGAGGGGGTCCCCGGGCCTTCCCCGAGAGCGCAGAAACCTTCCCTGGCGCCTCTGAGGAGCCCTCCGCCGCCCTCCCTCGAGAAGGGCCTCTCGAGAAGGCCCCGCGGCGAAGGCCTTCTGAAGGAAGGCCCTTCTGGCGAGGCCCGCTGTGGTGCGGCCCGGCGCTGCGCGCGTGCTCCACCGCGCACCAGGAAGCGCGCCCCCCCGGAGGCCGGAGGCCTGCGCCCTGCGCCCCGGGCCCCGCGCAGACTCGGGTGCCGCGCCGCGGCCCATAGGCCGTGGCGGAGGCGCCCCCCCGCGCGGCGCCAGGGGGTCGCGCGGGCGCCCCGCGCCACGCGCGGGCAGGCGCGGAGACGGCGGCGGCTCGAGCAGCGGCGAGGCGTTTTCTGGTTCGCCTGGTGGTCCACCAGAGAGCCCAGACCCCCTCGAGCAGTGGAAAAATCACGACGGGAGGTTTTTCCTAATTTTCGGCATCGGGGGGCCCTCAGCGGGCCTCGGGGGCGTCAAAAACCGACTCGGGATGCAAAGCCGGTCCTGGGGAACGGGACGGGACCTCTGGGGGTCGACGTAATGAAAAAAACATTACGTCGGGGGTCTGAGAACGTTCCCCAAGAATTTGTTTTTTGTGTGTGTGTGTGTGTGGGTCGCGCGGCGTGCTCTCAGGACAGCTCTGGATGGGACGATCCTGTCTTGGCGCGTCGGGCTTTTGCTTCTGAGGGCGCTGCTCTGGTCCTCCGAGCCTTTCTGGGTTCTGAGGCCGTGTCGTGGCAGGCCTACAGGAGTGCTGGGGCGGTCGGCCCCTGCTCGGTCCCCAAGAGGGTCAAATCATCGATTTCCTGAAGTTTGAATGTTTTCCGCCGCCTCCGCCGCCGTCGTCGTCGTCGTCGTCGCCGTCGTCGTCGTCGTCGTCGTCGTCGTCGTCGTCGTCGTCGTCGCAGTCGTCGTCGTCGTCGTCGTCGTCGTCGTCGTCGTCGTCGTCGTCGTCGTCGTCGTCGTCGTCGTCGTTGACGAGGTCGGCGGAGGTGGCCGCACGGCCCTCGCGACAAGAGACCGCGCCCTCCCAAGTGCATTTCCTGGGCTGCCCGCAGGCACCTCCCAAGTGCCTTTCCTGTGATCTCTGCAGGCACTTCTCAAGTGCCTCTCCCAGCTCAAAGATGGGCACTCGATGCTCCCGAACCTGTTTGTCTACATTGAACCTCTGTAGCTGTCCTGAATGTGAAGATCAAGTCGAAAGGCCGAACACACCCACCAAATATTTGCAGGGTGCGGATCGCTTTTTGGCCGCAGCTCGAGCCCCGGAGGCAGCTGCCCTGCCCGGGCACCGAGGCCGCCCGAGCACGACTCGGGGCCCAAAGCCAGTGCCCTGGGAGAGGTCGAGGTCCCCCCCTGGGCCCAGACCCCCTCGAGTAGCGACAACAATCAGGACGGAAAGTGTGTCTGAAGTTTCGGCCTCCGGGGGCCCTCAGCGGGCCTCGGGGGCGTCAAAAGACCACTCGGGATGCAAAGCCGGTCATGGGGAAGGGGTCGGGACCTTTGGGGGTCGACGTAATGACGAAATCATTACGTCGGGGGTCTGGGGCCAGTGCCCTGGGAGAGGTCGAGGTCCCCCCCTGGGGGGCACGGCCCGGACCCCCTCGGGCCATGATGAAAAAGTCTCGACGGGAGCCCCTGGAAGACACATCTAAAAATTTGTTTGGGTCGCTCATTTCCCCAGCGGCAGCTGCATTCGGCAGGACCTGATGGTATCCAACATGCCTCCCTGTATCATATGTGTTTTACAGCAACTTCATGAAGAGACTTAGATACGAATAGGCATGCATCAAACATATATACGTTTAGATACGGGTTCTTACTGTTCTAGATACGGGAGGTCCATTTTCTTCCAACAATAGATACGGGCCATCTTTGGATACGAATAGATATGTTCAGATACGGTTCAACATGGCGCCCATCGCTGGAAAACATGTCTACCAAACATAGATACGAATAGATACGGCGCCACGTCTCCACTGCCAGGCCTAGGCCGTTCAATAACAGGGAAGACAATCCACGTGCCAGTCGGGACGACGATGATAATGATGAGGAGGAGAAGGAGGAGGAGGAAGAGGAAGTGAAGAGGGATATCATGGACGGCAGGCGATCCGAGTGATCATGAGGACGAGGAGGACGAAGCAGAAGAGCCATGTTCTTCAATCGCTGATCGACTTCACCCCCGTCCTGACTCCCCCTCCTCCACGTTCTCCTTCTGACGCTCCCTCCAACTACACTTCGCTCCACTTGCCTCCTCGCCGCGCGTCCTCATCCTCCTCGTCCTCGTCCGCGCTCATCGTCCGAATCACTCCTCCTCCTCTCCCTCCTCCTCCTCCTCCTCCTCTTCCTCCTCCTCCTCCTCCCCTCCTCCTCTTCCTCCTCCTCCTCATCCTCCTCCTCCCTCCTCCTCCTCCTCCTCCTCCTCCTCCTCCTCCTCCTCCTCTTTGCTCTCCTCATCCTACGTTTCCCTGTTCCGACTCAGTTCTCTCCTAAATTACGTTTCGTCGTTGCTATCCATCCTGCTCCCTAATCCTCGTCGTTTTTGTCATCGTTGTTCGTCTCCTCACTCCTCATCGCTACGGCTTCCCACTATCCCCATCCCGTTGTTCATTGCTTCGGCCAATAACATGGATCTTGTTCGCGCCGAGAGCACAGCCAACATCATTCATTCTGACAACGATTATATACGAATACTTACGTCACGGCGCTGTCATTCTTCGAGACATAGATACGAAGATATATGTTTTTTTGAAGGACAATACATACCGTCCCAAATTTTAGATATGCTTGATAAGTACTTACGTTTAGATAAGGCGGCGCTCCTGCGCAGGCCGGGGGCGCGCATCTAAACATAACACATATATACATGTATATCGATTGTCGTTGTCGTTGCAGAAAATAGATACGATGGGCTTCTCGTCTGCACATGGGCGCGACCGCATCTGAACGTCTCTACTATTTGAAGAGACGTCTTGCAGCTATTTTTGGCTTCCCAGGGGCCCTCACCGGGCCTCGGGGCCGTCAAGAAACGACGCAGGATGAGAAAAACCGGTACCGGGGAACGGGTCGAGAATTTTGGGTTGGGTGTCGACAGTACGGGAAAATCATGGAGGGGCGGGCTGCGCGAAGGGGGGGCAGGGGGCTCGCCAGGAGAGCGGGGGGAGGGGGCCAGGAGGCAGGGGCTTGATCAGGAGCGCCCGGCGGCTTCCGAGGAGGCGTGCGGCCGGGCCGAGGTCTAAGATCGAGGTCGCTCTTGTAGTTCGGGGAGGGCACCCGGATGTGAGTCGTGCCTGTTGGGTGTCCTTGCGTATCCTGAGGGAGGGTACCCTCGAAGGTTCTTCAGCTGGGCGGGCGGGGGGTCTCATGCCCTTGAGAGTTCAGTTGGGCGGGCGAGGGGTCTCATGCTCTTGAGGGACGTTCTTCTGCCTCAGGTCCGGCCCTTCAGCCAACCCACATAGCAAGGATGGGCAACCTTCCCAAGGGCACCCTTGCATCCTTGCTTCTCTGGTCCATCCTTTGCCACTTTCGTTGGCCGCGCCCCGCTCGGAAAGCTTCGACAGGGGCGTCCAAGGCCCCTACATCCTTTCCCAGACCCCCGACGTCATAATTTGTTCATGACGTCGACACCCAGAGTTCTCGACCCCTACTCCCGGACCGGTTTCTCACCCCGAGTTGTTTTTACGGGCGCAGCCCGTAATTTGATGCTCGCGATGTAGACTGACAGGCTGAACTGAACCACCGGGCCGTGAGATGGCAGCTTTATTTCCGCGGGTGAAGATATTTCGGTGGCAGTTTTAAGCCAGCGGGTGATGATGTTTCGGTTGCAGTTTTAAGCCAGTGGGTGAGTATATTTCGGTGACAGTTTTATTTCCGCGGGTGAGGATATTTCGGTGGCAGTTTTATTTCCGCGGGTGAGGATATTTCGGTGGCAGTTAAAAGCCAGAGGGTGAGGATATTTCGGTGGCAGTTTGAATCCAGCGGGTGAGGATATTTCGGTGGCAGTTTTAAGCCAGCGGGTGAGGATATTTCGGTGGCAGTTTTAAGCCAGCGGGTGAGGAGATTTCGGTGGCAGTTCTAAGCCAGCGGGTGGGGACATTTCGGTGGTAAACGTTTTAAGCCCGCGGGGGAGGAAGAGGAGGAGGAGGGAGGAATCGAGAAGAGCTGTGTTCGGCGCGGGCATCCAGCCGCCACGCGATGCGTCATTCGCTTGGTTGGCCCAGCCGACGGCTACGCATCCAGCGCGGTGCTGCGCCCGTATATATGCTCGCCCCTCGGCGTGGGGCTGGCGGGGGGCCAAGGGGCGAGCTGTCCGGTGCTTTGTGGTGGCCCCGAGGCCCGGCGAGGGCCCGAAGACGGCGAGACCTCTCCCGTCATGCTGTTTTCGTGGTTCGATAAGGGGGTCTGGGGAGACGGGCCGACTCTGCTGCAGAGGCCCGGGGGCGGAGCTCCGAGCAGGCCCTCCGCCCCCCCCCCTCTGCTAGGGGCACGCCGCCCCGCAGGGGTCCGCCGCGCCCCGCCGCCGCCGCGAGGCGGGGACGCAACTCTTCGACACGGGCGACCGCGCCGACCGGCTGTTCATCGTCTGGAGCGGCTCGGTCCAGGTGGGCGGCGGCGGCGGCGACGGCGACGGCGACGGCGACGACGACGACGACTGGGCGACGAGAGAGCACGGGGTCGCCTTTATAAGAACATGATGACGCCCCCCCTGGATCCCGAGTGTCATTAATACGCCGGCAGATATTTTCTAAGTCCCCCTGGAGAAATATCCGACGGAGAGCGGACATACGCGCGTATTGTAAACATATACGCGCACGCGCACGCAGTGGTAAATTCATTCGAACTTTTTACGTGCAGATGTATAGGCTGCTCCGGTCGACGAATCAATAGTTCTCGTCCTGACGTGCGTACGTTTCCCACACAGCATGGGCCATGGCGGCCGCGTGCGCGACGGCCTTGCCCTTCGCGCAGTGTAGCGTTTCCCCACGCATTTTGCAGGGCCACCGCGCGCGCGGCGGCCGTGGCCCCTCGCGCATTGAGTTTTTCCATGCGAGATGCGCGTGGGCCGCCCCGCGCGCAGCAGCCCATGGCCCCTCGCGCATAGTGTTTTTCTATACGAGGTGCGCGTGGGCAACCGCGCGCGCGGCGGCCCTGGTCCCTCGCGCAGTGTGTGTGTGTGTGCGTTTCCATACAAAATCCGCGGTGCTCGTGGGCCATCGCTCGCGCGTCGGCGCATGACCCCTCGCGCAGCGTGTGTATCCGTACATGGTGCGCGTGGGCCGCCGTACGGGCCGCTGCCCTGGCCACTCGCGCATTGTGTTTTTCCATACAGGATGCGCGGGGGGCCGCCGCGCGCGCGGCCGCCATTGCCTCTCGCGCATTGTGTTGTCTTGTTCCATACAAGATGCGCGTAGGCCGCGCGCGCGGCGGCCCATGGCTCATCGCGCATTGCTTTTGTTCCACAAGATGTGCGGGGGCCGCCGCGCACGCGGCGGCTCGCGCGCATCCTGTATGGAAAAATGCACACTGGCCGCTCGCGCATATTGTTTTTGTGCGCGTGGGCCGCCGCGCTCGCGGCTGCCCATAGCCTCTCGCGCATTGTGCTTTTCTACACAGGACGCGCAATCGCGCGTTATGTTTATGCATATCAGATGCGCGTTGGCCGCCGCGCCCGCGGCGGCCCTGGCCCCTCGCGCATGGTGTTTTTTTCCCATGCAAAACGCGCGCGGCGGCCCATGGCCCCGCGCGCGCTGGTGATGTTCTGCCACGGCGTGAGGTCGCCGTGCCCTCCTCGCGCGGGGCCCGCGCCGCCCCGGCGCTCAGGTGGCGGCCCCCCGCGACAACAGCCTGGAGCTGCGGGCCCGGGCGCAGGGCTCCGCCGCGGAGGCCCCGCCCGAGGCGCGGGTCTTCGAGAAGGGCAGCGTGTTCGGCGAGCCCGGCCCCGAGGGCGAGGCCAGGATGCAGGCCAGGAAAGGGGGAATCAAACAGAGAGAGAGAGAGAGACAAACGTCGACCCCCAGGGATGCATGGGGAAATATGGGGAGCGGGATGGAAGACGAGACTCAAGAAGATGCGGACGATCATGGTGACGCCGAGTCCCAGGGAGGCATGGGGAAAAGTGGCGAGCGGGGGGGGGAAGACGAGGCTCCAGAAAGCTAATGGACAAACGTGGTGCGCCCTGGGATTTGCGTCTCTGTGCTTGTGTGTCCCTGGGCGCCTTCCGCAGGGGCGGGCCACGGCCCTCGAGTTCTCCCAGCTGCTCGTGTGGCGCTACGAGGACTACCGTCAGTGCCTGGCCTTCTCCCACGAGGACCTCCGAAGAAGGCAAGCACAGACCCCCTCGAGCCAGGACAGAATCACGACGGAAGGTTCTTGTTAGTTTCGGCCTCCGGGGGCCCTTACCGGCGGCCCCGTCAAAAAAACCTACTCGGGACGAGACACCGGTCTCGGGGAATGGGTCGAGAATTTTTGGGGTCGACGTTGCCCAGAGGTCCGATGTCGCGATTTTGTCAATACGCGGTCCCCGGAAGTCTCGACCCATTGCCCAGGACGGGCTTTTCGTCCTGAGCCGTGTTTTGACGGTCCCGCGGCCCGGCGAGAGCCCCTAGGGGCCGAGAGCCCTAAGGTCCGTTTTGATTTTTTCAATGCTTTGGATCTCTGGGGTCTCGGGGAATGGGTCGAGAATTCTTGGGGTCGACGCTACGGACCAAAGTCATGACGTCGCGGGTCTGGGAAGCCTCCACAAAGAGAGTGCGGCCGGGAACGCTTGCTTCGCATGTCGTGCCTCCGGCTCTGCCCACCCACGCCTCGACGCGACACAGGTATCCCAGACCCCGACGTCATGATTTTCCCATGACGTCGACCCCCAGGGGTCTCGACTCCTTCCCGGGGGCCGGTTTCCCACCCCGAGTTGTTCCTTGGCGGCCCCGAGGCCCTGCGAGGGCCCCCAGGGGCTGAAATTGGCGGAAGGCCTCCCGTCATGATTACAGTTTTTGCATGACTCGAAGGGGTCTGGGACCCACGTCCCAGCCACTTCCCAGCCTCCCGCCGCGCGGACCGGGGCGCAGCGCCATCCCGTCGCAGGGCAGAGCTTGTCGCGGGGGGGCCGCCGCCGAGGCGCGCTCAGCAGAAGCCGTAAACGTCGGTCTTGGATCCGCCTGTAGGAGGACGTGCCCGACCTAACAGAAGCCCCTGATTGGACGGGGCTGGGATTAAGTCGGGCATGTCCCCCTACAGGGGGGTTTTTCGACGAAAAATAAAAAATACCTAAAAAATGATCAAAAAAATAGTCCAAAGATAGTCTGGGGATTATTTTTTGAGTATTTTTGTCATTTTGGGGTATTTTTTGAATATTTTTAATTTTTCGTCGAAGATCCCCCTGTAGGGGGGCACGCCCGACTTAAGGCTGGGACGATGATGAGACCGTTCCAGAGTGTTCTGGAACGCTCTCAGAGCGTCCCGGAGCGCTCTGAGAGGGCCGCGGCGCCCGATGCATCTTCCAGAGCCGCCGGCTCTCAGAGACGCTCGATTCATCCTCCCTCGATTCATTGTCCTCGTCTTGGCTTCGTCTCACCTGGCCGTGACCTCTTGGGGAGGCCCGCGCAGACGCTTGGATCGGCGCGGGGCTCCCCTGGCGGCGCCTCTCTGGCGCCGTCAAGCCCGAGGCCCGAAAGCCATGAGGACACTAATTTTGCCCGGAGCCCACTGAGGCCCCAGGGGCCGCAGATCAGTGAAGTGAGGTTCTTTCCCACGTGAGGATCCCGAAATTCATCACTTCACGAAACCGAGCCCAGGACGAAAGTCAGGGGCCGAATTGCTGCTGGGATGCAACATAGGTCTCGTATCGAGGCGCCTCCTCTGGCGCCGCCGACGGGCGTGCACCGCGCGCCTGGGAGCAAGAGACCCGCGCGGACCTCCTCGGGAGCCTTGAGACGGGGGTCAGTGCAAACGGGGGTCAGCCAGGGCACCGGATCCTGCAGGATCCTGCGAAGACCCGCCGTGGCCGTGGCCGTGGCCGTGGCCGCGGCCGCGGCTGCAGTCGGGGCTGCGGCTGCGGCCGTGGCTGGGGGGGGGAAATTATAATGATTTTTTCGCGGTGGTTCTCCTCTCCCGGCCGCGTCCGCGACTGCGGTCGGGGCTGCGGCCTGGGTTCCGTGGCCGTGGCCGTGGCCGTGGCCGTGGCCGTGGCATTGGCTGACCTGGGTTAGCGAGCCGCTCGTGGCCGCGAGGCGGCCGCGCATATTGGCTGACCCGTGTTTGCGAAGACCTGCGTTGCAGTTTTTTTTGTCCTGCATTGCAGTTTTTGGTTTCCTGCTGACCCGGGTTTGGATTGACCCGGGTCAGAAGATCCCCGACCTCCCCAAACAGGAGATGTCCTGACCCAGACCCCCTCGGGCAATGAAAAAAACATCATGACGGGATTTTGGTACCAATTTTCGGCCTCTGGGGGCCTTCACCGGGCCTCGGGGCCTTCAAAACACGACTCGGGCAATGAAAACATCATGACGGGAGGTCTTCCCACTTTTCGGCCTCCGGGGGCCCTCACCGGGCCTCGGGACCGTCAACAAAAACGGTTCAGGATCAGAAGCTGGCCCTGGGGAATGGGTCGAGAACTTTGGGGGTCGACGTTATGAAAAAAATAAGACGTCGGGGGTCTAGGGACTTGGTGCCACCCTGGGATCCTGGCGTTGCAATTTTTCGCACAAAGAGCGTTTTCGCACCATTTCGTGCCCTGGGACCCGCATCGACCCAGGTGAAAAAAGGGTGCAGGAGGATGGGGTCTGGGGACCCTGCCTGATTTTTTTGCCTTGTTGCAATTTTTGTTGAAACGTCGGCGCTCAGGGGAATGCGGGGTCCCCAGAAGGCCCGACCATTTCCCCAGGGCCAGTTTTTCGTCCAGCGTCGTTGATCGACGGTCCCAAAGGCTCGGCGAGGGCCCTCAGAGGCCGAAGATTGAGAAACACCTCCTTCCAAATGTTTGCCCAGAGGTTGCATGTCCTGGTTTGCACAGCTTCCGCACCGGAATCGACGTCGAAATGTCGATACACATGGTTACGTACATGCATGCATGCATGCATACATACATGCACGCATACATACATACATGTATGTTTGCATGCGTACATAAGGATGTTTTATTCACACGCTATGCCAGGATACTGGGGGCTTGGGGCCCGGGCCATGACACCCTCCCGAATTTCCCCTCCCCCTTTTTTGGCCCAGGACATGTTTGACCAGCCGGGCCTCCCTGGCCTCCCCCCCCTTGCGCTCGAAACAGCTCGAAAGGCGACCAAAAAACTAACAGAGCGGCCTGACAGGGCCGAAGACGTCCCAAGAAGGCTCCAAGATGCGCCCCGTCAGGGCCCCAGGAGGCCAAATTGTTCGAGTCCCGAGGAGAAGCGTACATGTCTAGCATATTCGCACTTTGGGTTTCAACAGCGTCCAGAGCGGCTCAAGAGGCTCCAAAGATCGCCCCAAGACGGCCCAAGAGGCGCCCAAGACGGCCCAAGAGGGCCCCAGGAGGGATCCAGCAGGGGGAATTCGAACTGACATTTCGAGCCCTCCGCTCCCAATGGGTCCCCAGGTCCGCCAGCAGGCCCCCAGGAGTCCCGCAAGCATGTCAAAAGCGGCCCTCAAGAGGCCCCATGGAGCTTCAAAAGTCGCTCCACGAGGCACCTGAGAAGCATGCCAGACCCCGAGTTACAGGTATCCAAGAATCCTCCGGCCCCAAACTCAGGCACAGTAGTTGGCGGTATGGGCCGAATGCCATAGATGCACAAGCAGTTTGCTTGGCGACGGACCCATCCTTATGCAGTCATGTGCAGCGCAGGGCGTAAGTCCCTATTCATACACTGCGCGCCGCGAGGCAGTGTGAAAAGCGGGCTGCTGCGGAGCACGCGATCACGGGCGCGCTGAATTCCTTCAGGGGCACGATCCGGGTGGGCGTTGTACGAATCTTGCCTCTGGGCCTTTGGGTGACCAGGTCAACGTGCACTTGCCCCACGCCTCCAGGCACGACGGCCCGCAAGGCTCGCGCATCACGTGGCGCCCGCCGCCGCAGCCCGCGACCCGGGCGCTCTTCAGGAGCAGTGGCAGGCCGTGCGCGCTGGGGAGGTCGAAAGCTCTTGGCAACCGCGGCGACCTTGCGTGCACGATCCGCGCGGGGGCGGTGTGCCGCAGCTCTGCGGGGGGGGCGCCGTGCGAGCCTTGCCTCCGGGGCCACGGGGTGGAGATGCCCGTGGGCCTCGATCCGTGCGAGAGGTGCGCCGAAGCAGGAGGGGGAGCGGCATGGGCCTGTGGGGCCGTCCGTGGAATTACCTGCGGGCCAGGAGATTCTTCTTATTTTTATCATTAATAATACTGTTGTTATTGTTATTATTGTCAGTATTAGTGTTATTCTGTGCTGGAGTAGGCCGGGCGACGCTATGAAGTTTACCCTTGGTGCCGCAAGTGCGGTTATTTGCGGGGCACCCTCCGGGGACGCAGGTACGTATATGGCGATCTCTGTGGGGCGCGATCTCTTCAAGGACTGTGTCAGCCAGGGAGGGGGAGCGCTCGGCCAAGCATGGATCTGGGGCCGTCGGTCGAGCTCCCTGAGGGGAACGATCCGTGTGAGACTATATGTCCTCCGATGCCGAACACTTTATTCTACAACCAGAACTTGCACCTGAGCTCCACTTTAGCTTATACTTCATATTGTAGTACATGAGGTGCGCGTATAGATATACATACAAAGAGGGGGCCGTCCAAAAAAAGGGCCTTGCCTTTGAGGATGGTGCGTGTGTATATATATATATATAAATATATACATACATACATACAAATATTGGGCCTTCCAAAAAGGGCCTTGCCTTTGAGGGTCGAAGGAGTTGTCATCTCTTCCGCGGCGGAAGGCGGCGGAAGGGCGGCGGAAGCAAAACGAGGCCGCCTCCGCCGTCGGATGCTGGCGGAAGCTCGGCGGAAGGCGGCGGAAGTAGAAATGTGCCCGCAAGAGATGAAAACGTTTTTGATTTCAGAGTTTCCGAAATCGCCCATGTATATGAATGGCAAAACATGAATGAATATATTAATAGCTGTATGCGTATACATGTAAGTACGCGATGCCTTGCCAGTGTGTCGGGATGAAGGCCGCCGCGGCGCCGACGCCGGCGTCCTTGTGAGAAACTTGTGTGTAGGCCTCGGCGACGGCCGCGGGGGCCTGGCACTCCCTGGGGGCCCGGGCCCTTGTCATGACTCTAACATCGCAGAGCGGATTTTGCTTGGGAAACGATAGGATGGGCCTGGAGTGTCCTGGAGAATGTCGTTCCGGATTTCGATGTTTTCATTGCCCGAGGGGGTCTGGATCCCTGCCCACGCCGAGGACGTCATGCGGGAGCGCGTCGCCTTCCTGCGCGCCGCCGAGCGCAGCCTGCTGGAGGGCGTGCCGGAGCCCGACCTGCGGGCCACGGCGGCCCTGCTCGGGGAGGAGAGCTTCAGCGGCGAGCGGGAGACCAGGGGCAGCGCTGAACCCTGTTTCCTGCGTTGGATTCCGCACAACCCAGACCCCCTCGAGTTATGAAAAATTCATGACGGAAGGTTTTCCTGCATTTTCGGCCTCCGGGGGCCCTCACCGGCCCTCGGGGCCGTCAAAAACGACTCAGGATGAAAAACCGGTCCCGGGGAATGGGTCGAGATCTCTGGGGGTCGACGTCATGAAAAAATCATGACGTCGGGGGTCTGGGCACAACGCGCCGCACCCTGTTTTTCTACTAAGGAAAACGGTGGTCTGCGGACCTGGTCATGTATCCAGGATCCGAGAGGAGGGGCAAGCTTTTCTCGAGCGGGCTGGGCTGAGGCTTACAGACCCTGAGACCCTGGCGTCTCAACCTTTTCGAGCCGGGGCGTGATCGCTGTTTCTCGGACCCCGTGACCCTCGCAGATCGATCCGGCTCGAAAACTGGCGCGGAGAGATGGGGTCTATAGGGTTCCGGGCGCGATTTCGCACGGCGTCGCAATTTTTTTTGAGGCGTCGGGTCTCAGGCAAAGTCTTGGCTCGCTGGGGGCTGGTCCCTCCCCCCCCCCCCCGTGGGATTGGTTTCTCCTCCCCCACAAACGACGACACGCCTTCCCACACCTCCCGGAGCCCTCCGGGAGGCCTCCCGCAGAACCCTTCCAGGAGGCTTTTCGGAGGGTTTCGAAAGGGATTCAGCTGTTTTGGAAGGAAACCAGTCCCCAGACCCCCGACGCCAAAGTTTTTGTCGTAACGTCGGCCCCCACAGTTCTCGACCCATTCCCGGGGACCCGTTTCTCCTCCCGAGTCGTTCTGGACGGTCCCGAGGCGCGGTGAGGGCCCCCAGAGGCCGAAAATCTGGAACAGCTTCCTGTCGTGATTTTTGTCATTGCTCGAGGGGGCCTGGCGAGCCCTGGACTCTCTAAGGATGTGCTCGCGCACGTTTCGGGTTCGAGGTCTTCCGCTGTCCTCGGCCTCTGGAGGCCCTCGCCAGGCACCCCCGGGGCCGCCGCGCCGCGACTCGGGATGGAAGCTGGCCCCATAAGGGAAAAGAGGTGCCGAGACTTCCGGGGAGCTCGTCTGGAAATCGACAGGGGGAGGGGGGGGAGTGGGAAAGGTGCCGAGACTTCCGGGGAGCTCTTTTGGAAAAATCGGCAGGGGGGGGGGGGGGGGGGGGGAAATTCGGGCTCGGGGCGCTGGGCTTGCGGGCGTGCTATCGTTGGTGCTCGGCGGCGCTCCGGCCGCAGGGGTGCGCGCCAGGCAGCGGCGCCTCGCCGAGGGCGTATGTCCTGCAGGGCGCCCCCGGGTGGTCCCGAGCACGGCCGGCGGAGGCCCGGGGAGGGGCAGGAGGAGGAGGAGGAGGAGGAGGGGGAGGAGGAGGAGGAGGAGGAGGAGGAGGAGGAGGAGGAGGAGGAGGAGGAGGAGGAGGAGGAGGGGAGGAGGGGAGGAGGAGGAGGAGGAGGAGGAGGATGAGGGGGAGGAGGAGGAGGAGGAGGAGGGGGAGGGGCGCACATCGGCCCACAATAATCGCCTGGTGATCCAGAGGTGCCCGACAGCCCACCCCGCCCAGGGCCGGTGCGGCTGTGCTGTCGGGGGGCTTCTCGCCGATCCATCTGGGATCCTGCCATCGCTCGGGCGTGTGCCTTTTTCCTTCGGCGAGGACCATCGAGGAGCATCCTTGATCACTTGGCGAAAAAGACACGCAGGAAACCAAAAAGAACGCAGGGAATGGACGTCCGAGCGATGCCCCGCCGATCCATCTGGGATGCATCGCTGGGACGGAGGTCGATGTGCTGCCCCGCCGGGCAGGCCGCCCCTGTCGCTCTCCCTCAGGAGATCCTGAGGCAGGGCGCGGAGGTCGACCGCGTCATCATCGTCAAGAGAGGCCTGTGCAAGGCCTCACCATCAAGGAAAGGCCCCGAGATCCTGGCGCAGCAGTTGTTGCACTGCGGGCGGCGACTTTGCCCTGTTTCGGCCCCGGGGCCCTCACGGATCGCTCCAGCCCGAAAAGTGTTGCAGGGAGATGGGGTCCTGGTCTTGGGTCGTGACTTGTCGAGGTTGCATTCTATTCGCGGCGTCGGATCTCAAGAGAATCGGGTTTCTGGTAGGTTTCGTTGCCCCTTCTTGGGTTCCTGGGGCCTCATACGGGTCCCGGGACCGTCAGAGAAGGACTCGTAGAAGATCGGCAGAACTGATTCACCCCAACATTGATATTCACGTCACGTCGGGTCTACGTATGGGCGCACCCTTCTCGCAGTTCTGGCCGTTTCCTGCTGTGGAGTCAGCGAAGAGTACTTGGTGGGCAAATCAAGTCTGATTTCGATCTCACACACGAGCTTGTCCCGGGGATGGGCGGGGGGTCCCTGGGAGCCGTTTCCCTCCGCGTCCCCTCCCCAGAATGCCGCGCATAAGCGCGCTCTTGCTCGCAGCGCGGCCCCCAGACGGAGGCCCTGGGCCCTTTCCCGGGAATCCCAGGCATCTGGCCGCTCCACTGTGGTCCGATGCGTGGGCCCCGGAGGTGCGGACCACTTCCCGAAGGCAGTTTTTTCGTCCTGCATGCGTCTTTTGCCAGTCCCGAGGCCCGACGAGAGCCCCCAGAGGCCGAAAATGGTCCCAGACCCACTGCTCCAATTTGCTTGGAGCGCCGGATCTCTGGGAACCAGCCTTTCATCCTGCAGTCGTCTTGCGACGGCCTGGGGCTCGAGGCCGACAGGTGGCATGTGGCGACAAAACCTCCCGCTCCGATCGCTGCTCGCGCCGCGAGGAAGCGAGCCCCCCCCCCTCGTGCCACAAGAGGTCATCCGCCAACTGCACCCCCGCTTCACCGACGCCTTCGCCGCCTACTCCGAGGTCCTCGCGTGCGGACGCGCCAATGCCCGTAAGCCACGGCCTCGCGGGCGGGGCCGCAGAGGAGGAAAATGTAATTACCCTTGCTGCTACCCTTCGCCCGTTCTCTTGTTTCCTGACCTCCTGGGATGCCCTCGTCGCCACCGCTGGACTCTCCCCCGAAGTCCTGGTCAGAACGCGCCCCAGGAGAGGGCCGGGGAGCAGCGGTGTGGGCAACTACCTCTTGGCCTCTTGGCTTCCCCAGTGCCAGCTGACCCCGTGGCTGCGGGTCGCAGGTGCCCCCCGCGCGGAGCGCCTCCATGCGACCGCGTGTCCGCAGGAGCCTTCCCCCGGCATCCAGACCGTGCGGGCCCAGACCCCCAAGGGGCTCGGCCCGACTCACAGCACCGGCTCTCCATCCCGAGCCGTTGTTTGCAAAATCGCGATGCCTGGCGAGGGTCCCCAGGAGGCCGAAGACGGTCACAGGAACGGTCGTCGTGATGTTTTTGTCCCGCGGCGCGCGATGGGTAATCGCCTGTGTCACGGAGCTACTTCAGTTCCAAGCCCACAAAAACCCACACCCCCGACGTAATGTTTTTTTCATTACGTCGACCCCCAGAGGTCCCGACCCGTTCACCAGGACCGGCGTTGCATCCTGAGTCGTTTTTTGACGCCCCCGAGGCCCGGTGAGGGCCCCCGGAGGCCGAAAATTAGGAAATAGCTCCCGTCATGATTTGTTCGTTACTCGAGGGGGTCTGGGAACGGGCCTGGGGATATGGGCATGTTCGCCGCGCGTGATCCAGACATGCGAGGTTCGGATTCTTCACGCACGGAGTCCTCGGAAGCCCCGACCCACTCCTTCCCGGGCCGGAGGAGGAGGAGGAGGAGGAGGAGGAGGAGGAGGAGGAGGAGGAGGAGGAGGAGGAAGAGGGAGGAGGGGAGGAGGAGGAGGAGGAGGAGGAGGAGGAGGAGGAGGAGGAGGAGGAGGAGGGTGAGGAGGAGGAGGACGAGGAGGAGGAGGAGGAAGAGGAGGAGGAGGAGGAGGAGGAGGAGAGAGAGGAGGAGGGAGGAGGAGGAGGAGGAGGAGGAGGAGGAGGAGGAGGAGGACGAGGACGAGGAGAGAGGAGGAGAGAGGATGAGGGGGAGGATGAGGAGGAGGGTGGAGGAGGAGGAAAAGGAGGAGGACGAGGAGGAGGAGAAGGAGGAGGAGGAGCAGAGCAGATTTTTGGACGGCCCCCCAGTGCCCGGCGAGTGCCCCGGGAGGCTGAAAAAAAAGCCAAACGCAACCCCCCTTCCGGGTCAGGGGCAGCGTCTTGGTGATCATTTTTTTGGTCCGCTGCGTTGCCGATCGGCGCGGGCCCCAGAACCCCCCTCCCCCCCTCCCCTGGAGTAGATCTTTGCTGTTTTCTAGCGCCTGTTTCGACCGGGTGGAGTCTCCCCCGGAGGCCGCACTCTTTCAAACAGTCGCACTAAGCAGAGGTCTGGAGCCAGACCCCCCCTCCTCCCCCCCCCCTTGCCGCCCAATGTCGAAACGCCGAATAAAAAACGTTCACCAGCTGAAAGGAATGAGTACACAGACATCTGCATATATGCACATCAGAAATGCAGCACCCCGCAACTGCGGGTACAATTGAGGGGGCGGGCGCGGGGCGGGTCGCGGGTGGGTCACGGGTGGCTCGCTCGTGGGTTGTGGGGTGGGTCGCGGGGTGGGTGGCGGGTGGGACGCGGGGGGATCGTTGGGGGGACGACGACAACAACAGCAACCAGTTTTAGAGTGTTTGCTCTTATCCGCTCGCGTGCCACTCAACATGTACATCCCGAGCCCTCGATACCCGTCCTCTCTGTTTTCGATCGTACCAGCCCCTGGGGGTAAATCTTCCTTTCCTGCCACGTGTAATGGGCGCAGCCCCCCGAACAGGGTCAAGGCCGCGCGCGCTCAACGCCGGCATGGCCAGGTGGCGTGCCCAACATCAGGCAGGAGGGAGGAGGGAGGAGGGAGGAGGGAGCGACGAGGGGCACGGGGCAGGGAGGACCAGGGAGGAGGCAAGGCTCTAGTTGGCCGGGGGCTTCGCGCGTGCCCACTCCGTGACACCCGGCCTGGCAGCAGCAGCAGCAGCAAGGGGGGCCGAGCCGGACTCCGCAGCCACTGCGCAGCATCTCGGGGCACGACGCCTCAGGAGAAGGGGAGGAGGGAGGCAGGGAAGATCAGAGCCCCGAATCATCAGGGGTAACTCGGGTCAGGGCTAACTCGGGCTCCTTTTTCGGGAATCCAAACCCGAGTTACCCCGGACCCGAGTTACCCCGGATAATTCGGGCGCCCAAGAAGAGGAGGAGGAGGGAGGAGGGAGGAGGGAGCGGGAAGGGGCATGGGGAGGGGGAGGGGAGAGGGGAGGAGCATGGAGCACGGAGGCGGTCCCAGACCCCCGACGTAATGATGTTTTCGGTACGTCGACCCCCAGAGGGCCCGACCCTTTCCCCAGGACCGGCGTTGCATCCCGAGTCGTCTCTTGACGCTCCTGAGGCCCGGCGAGGGCCCCCGGAGGCCGAAAAGTAGGAAAAACCTCCCGTCGTGATTATTGTCATTCCTCGAGGGGGTCTGGGAGGCCCGGCGAGGGCCCCCGGAGGCCGAAAAGTAGGAAAAACCTCCCGTCGTGATTTGTCATTCCTCGAGGGGGTCTGGGAGGTGGGGGGGGGGGGCCAGGAGCGGGAGCAGGAGCACGGGCCGGCAGAGCCGGGCGGGCACGGGGGCCGGGCAGGGGGCCGGGCGTGCTAACCCCGGCATGACGGGCCGGCACCCGGGCGAGCGGGGGGCCGAGCGGGGCGGGGGGCGCGCGGGAGCGTGCTGGCCTTCAGGCGGGCAGGTCCCTCCCCAGACCCCCTCCTCCTCCTACTTCATCCCCCTCCTCCTCCCTCCTCCTCTCCTCCTCTCTCCTCCCCTCTCCTCCTCCTCCTCCTCCTCCTCCTCCTCCTCCCCCTCCTCCTCCTCCGCCTCCGCCTCCTCCTCCTTCTTCTCCTCCTCCTCCGGCCCGGGAAGGAGAGGGTCGGGGCTTCCGAGGATTCCGTGCGTGAGGAATCCGAACCTCGCATGTCTGGATCACGTGCGGCGAACATGTCCATATCCCCAGGCCCGATTTTCCCAGACCCCCTCGAGCAATGAAAAATCACGACGGGAGATTTTTCCTAATTTTCGGCCTCGGGGGGCCCTCACCGGGCCTCGGGGGCGTCACAAACCGACTCGGGATGCAAAGCCGGTCCTGGGGAAAGGGTCGGGACCTCTGGGGGTCGACGTAATGAAGAAAATCATTACGTCGGGGGTCTGGGTCTACAGGAGGAATGTCCAAAAATAGGCAACGAATAGTCTGGGGACGATTTTCCCCACTCAGTGCTTGCACTGAAGGGGTCCTCGCGAAAGTTGAAAGATTTGGCGGAAGTTTCCCGCCGATTTTGGTCGCACGCTGGGCTCCCAGGTTCCCGGTTCCGGGTTCCCGGGTTCTTGGTTGTTGGTTCTTGGTCGATTTTGGTGGGTTCCGGGTTCCCCGATTCCCGGTCGATATCCTTATCGATCAAACCATCAATTGATTGGGGTTACTCTCTGGTGTAATTTCTTTTTTTGGATTTGTTTGAGCATTTTTCTGAGATTTTTCATTTGTTGTCCAAAATCCGCCTGTAGGGGGACATGCCCGACCTAATGCCGGCGTCCTGTTTGGATCGCGGCCCCGCGTCGGGCCGAGGTGTGAGTCATCGTCGTCGGAACCATCCCCACCCTCAGACCCCCTCGAGGTAGGACCACAAATCACGACGGGGGGTTTTTCTAGTTTTCGGCTTCTGGGGGCCCTTACCGGGCCTGGGGACCGTTAAGACACGACCCAGGATGAAAAACCGGTCCCGGGAAAGGGATCCAGACCTCTGGGGGTCGACGTTGTGACAAAATCACGACGTCGGTGGTCTGGGTATGAGTCATCATCGTCGGAACCATCATCACCCTCACCAGGGCAGGGCAAGTTGGCTCTCCCAGCGTACCCCCTCCAGGTCGGGGCAGGTGCTCTGGAACCCGAGCGAGACGGCACCCCGTCCCCACCCGGGGGGGGGGGGGGAGAGATTGCCCAGCGGGGCCAAGGTTTCCCCGGTGGGGGTGGGGATTGTTGTGCTCCTCCAGGGTGAGACCCAGACCCCCGACGTAAGGATTTTTTCGTTACGTCGACCCCCAGAGGTCCCGACCCTTCCCCCATGACCGGCTTTGCATCGCATCGCATCGCCGGCGGCACGAGAGCTGTCTGAAGCATCACGGGGCGCCTTCACACCTCTTGGCAAGCATCTGGACGCCTGCTGTCGAAAGCTGTGTTTAATCATGACCGGCTTTGCATCCCGAGTCGTTTTTTGACGCTCCCGAGGCCCGGTGGGCCCCCCAGAGGCCGAAAATTAGGAAAAACCTCCCGTCGTGATTTTTGCTCATTGCTCGAGGGGGTCTGGGGAGCGAGGTCGGTTCGGGGAGGGTATACCCCCGTGTTCTGCGTGGTCGCTGGCTGTCCTTGTGCTCCCTGGGCGCGGAGCGCGCCTGGGCGGGCGCCCCTCCGACCGCCCGCCTCCCCCCCCCCCCCCCCCCGCCGCCTCCCCTCCCCCTTATGATGTTCCGACCTACTGTAGCCTTGATCGCCAGAAAGAGTTTCGAGCACCAGGGAAGTACCGAAACTCGAGGGTTTTCACGTGTCGGGCCCTGGGAGACACTCGTCCGACACTGCTTCGACACTCTTTTGGATGTGGTCCGTATTTCGGGGTGCTCGAAATTACTTTTGGGATGTGATCCGGAAGTGCGATGGGAGCAACATAACCCTCCCCCCTCTGTTCGTCTGTCGTCCGTCGCTCGTCTGTCCGGTGGTGCCGCTGGGTTCCGTCTGCGCTTGCACAAAAAAGTGCACCCTGGGAACCCAGACCCCCTCGTGTAGCGAAAAAATCAGGATGGAAGGTTTTTCTGAATTTTCGGCCTCCGGGGGGCCCTCACCGGACCTCGGGAGCGTCAAACAACGACTCAGGAGGCAAAGCCGGTCATGGGGGAAGGGTCGGGACCTCTGGGGGTCGACGTAATGAAAATATCATTACGTCGGGGGTACGTCGGGGGTCTGGGGGGGGCGCCCTCGGATGTTCTGTGCGCTGTGGCCGGCGGAGGGCCTCGTGCTCTTGAGGGGTGCTCGTCTGGCCCAGGTCCGACCGCGGTCTTCAGGGATCGATGATTCCGGAGGGGAGCGTGACAACGTCCAGAGCGGGGGCGGGATTCCTGAGTGTCGAGGGCGCCGCGTTTCCATACAGCCGGGTGTCTGTTCAAGAGACATCGTGTCGAGAAGCTGGGCCCGCGTTGCTGTACCAGGTTGCCGGAAGGCTGGGCCCAGTTTCTTGACCACGTGCGCCCCTCCAGCGTTACAAGCAGAAACGTGCCCATGTCCGTCTCAAGAGTACTCCGGGAAGTTGGGCCCAATTTCTCAAGTTATAGTTTTTGTTGATCATATTTTCC